ATATATATATATATATATATATATATGTGTGTGTGTGTGTGTGTGTGTGTGTGTGTGTGTGTGTAATAAAAGTTAATAGAGTTGAATTAGACCAGGAAACGGTAGTATTAAAAAAAGTGCTCAATACACGTATAAAAAGATAAAAATTTAACATGTAGATCTTTTAAGTATATAAAATTAGGAGATCAGCCGATTCCGCCATTTTGGTTTCAATCTTTCAATATCTTCAGGCGATTTCGGTCAATTGATTTCTTAGCATTTTATTTTTAAAAAAATAAAAAAAATTATGAACGCTATACCTTTTAATAAATATATAAAAGAATAAGAGCAGGGCATGAAATGTGGTAGAAGGTGAGGAGGAGGAAGCAAGTGTATTGGAATTTTATCCTTGTGAGATTAATTGAAATATAATAACTTTCTTTTCATCCCACTTCATATAAACTCAAAAGGAACTTTTTAGTATGTATACAACGGGACATAATTTCCGATCACTTATTCAAAAAGTTTTTTGGTCTGGAAATGTTATTATAGCTAATTTTTCTTGTTGATAAAGGTTTCGGATCTTACTATGATAGTTGTAAGGTTTTACTTTTTTTAATTTCCCAATTTACAATTGGATCTTTTTTTTATTTTTCTCCTTTAATTTCCATACATTGTTGGCTAGATTAATAGAATTTCTAAGACTTTCTAGCTTAAAAGATGACTTGTGATTGTACCACCTCCTCTTCTTAAAATTACCCTATGTATATTTTTCTGGCCATTTGTATCTATTACTTATATATGTATGTATTGGCAGCATACAGTGAGAAATATAAAATTTGTATTTTTATATTTGGTACCGGTTATATTTTCAAGAAGGCTTGAATCGATCTATTATGTAATCGATAAGTAGATATACTGATTGTTTGCAATAAATTTTTGCATGCCTTTTACTTACCTGTGAAAACTAGTCCTGGGTATGACGATAAACTACACCCGGCAGCATCGTAGTATTGGAGATTGGAGGTTTTGTGGAGCGTGAAATCATCTGTCAACTGCTGTTGTTCCCAGGTACACCCTGACTTAGGGTGGTAACAACTGTTAGGGCCCTAGCTATGGGCAAATAGTGAACCCTCAGACAAAAACAAAACGCTATGAAAGTATAAAAATACATTTTTATAGTAAAAATACTAACAATGCATTTTATAGCAAAATGACCAACAATACATTTTATAACAAAATGACCAACAATGCATTTCATAGCAAAATGACCAACAATACATTTTATAACAAAATGACCAACAATACATTTTATAACAAAATGACCAACAATACATTTTATAACAAAATGACCAACAATGCATTTCATAGCAAAATGACCAACAATGCATTTTATAGCAAAATGACCAACAATACATTTTATAGCAAAATGACCAACAATACATTTTATAACAAAATGACCAACAATGCATTTTATAGCAAAATGACCAACAATACATTTTATAACAAAATGACCAACAATGCATTTTATAGCAAAATGAGCAACAATACATTTTATAGCAGAATCAACAATACATTTTTATAATAAAATTACCAACAACTTATTTTTATAGTAAAATGACCAACAATATCTTTTATATTAAATTGCCAACTGTACATTTTATAAATAACCAACGAGATATATTTTAAACATATCAAAATGATAATCAGTATATTTTATAGTAAAATTGTAGACATGGCATACATTGTCAAAAAAACTGTTTACTCTGATTAATCTCATTTCTTGTAAGGAGAAACAAGTTTAACTTCCTCGTTTGATTTTGGAAGACTATTTGTTAAAAAAGTTAATTAATTATAATATAATCATGAAATAACCTCATTCACGAGAATTAATAATAAAATTTTAATTTTCAAATTTAGATTTCGGTATTAAATGACTCATAGAGGTATTGATATGCCGTTAAACAAAAAGAAGCAAACTAAACCTTATCTGTAAAAATATTAGAATTCAATTCCCCCAAAATTAAACAGAGCAAAAAAATAGAATAGTCACGGACTTCCAATATGGCTTTATTACGCCTTCTTATCATGACATCATTACGCAGACGTATGTTCAACATACGTTACGTGTAGGATAAACATTGTGAAATAATATAATTCGTATTTACATTGAATATATACAGTGAGTCCCCGCCTATTCGCGTTTCAGCATTCGCAGCTTCAACCAATCGCGGATTTTTCTTTAGAACACATGTACGAGTTATTGGCAAAAATGTACATCTTCATTGTAAAAACAAAAGCAAAAACTTGCGGAGTGATTGGGCTTTCTTCTTTGTTAGGGGCTGAGGCTGAGTTCTTAAAAGTAATTTATGTTAAGTCTGGAGTATCATCACAGTTCTCGTTTTAGAAAATGTTTTTTTTTACGGTATTTTCAATGGTTGTATCGATCTATGCGTAATTAAAAACGACTATTGTACATATGAAAGAAAATTTACGCTAAGTGTATGGTCACCAATACTATTTTTCAAAAATGTTTTTAAAAGGGTCTGAGATGTTTCTAAAGTGTTTAGAATGAAAGTTTAAGGCATATGGGGTTTTAACAATCAAAATAGGTACTTATAAGCACTTTTAGGAAGGGGTTACAAGTATTCACGGATTCTAACTATTTGAGGCCGGTTCCTAGTCCCTAACACACTCAAATACGGGGGACTCACTATATATATATATATATATATATATATATATATATATAACAAATTATGGTAGAGAGGTGGAGATCGTAATTAGATATTTACTAGGTTACTGTCAAAGTATAATGGTGTATTTAGCTATTTTTTTTTTTTAACTATATTCTACTTATAAAATATATCAAATGTTTTATGATGTGCTGCAGTTTCCGGTTTATGTTCAATTTTATTCTAACAGTTTCGCCATCCGGACTTCTCGCCTGTGGAACTCTCTTCCGGATTTTCTTTTTTTTTTTTTCTTTGATTAACTTCTGTGTGCCGTGTTCTCTCGGGACGTTGCCGATCACGGATCTCCACAATTCCCTGTCCTTTGTAGCACTTAATAAATATTATCTCTCCTAAGCCTTGCTCCGCCATCGATTCACTCAAGCTCGCTCAGTTATTTTCACAGTGATTTATTTAGACACCACCACAGGTTAGCTGGCAGTTCCTCAGCTCTTTGATAGGTCTTCTTTTGCATATGTTATAAAATCATTACAAAAATAGCCATTTCGTTTCAACACTTCTGGTGTCTTATCAAGTGATGCTGTTGAATGTAGAATAAAGAAGAGTATTTGTTGGTTACTGGAATTTATTCCGTATATACCAATCCTATACTTGTATATATATATATATATATATATATATATATATATATATATATATATATATATATATATGTGTGTGTGTGTGTGTATACAAAAAAATCGTTGCAAAAAATCACGTAAAAAAACTCCGAAAACAATCGCAGTAATAAAAACTTAGGAATCTAAAATTTCAGGATTGCGGATCCAGCCCAGAATGTTTTTTAATTTTTTCACCGAGTCAGCCTGATTCCAAAATGGTATGATATGTCGGGCTACGGCCCCTAGAAGTAAAGTTGAAAAAGTGTGACACACTGACATTGGCATTTATTATATAGATGGTTGTTTTTGCTGTATAAATATCAAAGATCATAAGCCTGTCTTTACGGTTTGATTTGCTAGTATTTCGTTATAGTTTATATATATATATATATATATATATATATATATATATTTAATTAATTCATTGAGTCAGGTAGAAACCTCAACAGGAATAGAGGAAGCACTGGACGGCCGTTTCGTCCTATAATTGGGACTCATCAGCAGTGCGCATATATATATATATATATATATATATATATGACGATATATAATCTTATATATCATCAAAAAGTATTTAGAAAAATAGTATGACAAATTGGAAAAAAAGTTTCATCAGTTAAGATTTCATCGGATTGTGTTTTGTTGATGTTGTCACGTCTACATATGCGTACGAAACGAGAGACAACTGGTCGTTTCAAATTATTTTGAAAGAATATTTTTAATCTATCCAAAATCATCTGTATTTTTTTTTTCCAATTTGTCTATACTATATATATATATATATATATATATATATATATATATGTGTGTGTGTGTGTGTGTGTGTGTGTAATAAATTTGGGTATGTAATCCCGACAGTGTTTTAATTTATTGACATTTCGGGAGATATTTTACATGAACGTTTTTCTAAATGTCAGTATATATATATATATATATATATATATATATATACAAAATTTGTTACTTAGCTAATTGATGCCATTTTCAGCATCTCAATCTAGAGTTTCGTAGACAGACCCTCTAGCAATTGCTCCTTTCACTCATCAGGAGATATCAGCAGTTGAGAAATTTTTAGTCACTTTTATATTGAGTTAAAATAATTTATGCACTTTTCACTATATATATATATATATATATATATATATGTGTGTGTGTGTGTGTGTGTGTGTGTGTGTGTGTGTGTGTGTGTGTGTGTGTTGTGTGTTTATTTTAATTAAAATATCTTACTTTTACTTTCTCCAGTAAATAGTATGAGAGGAATATCTTTATTCTCCATTTAATTTTCCATCAGAGCCAATACGTTTCATATCTAATACTCAGAAACTTGAATTTAATAGTAAAACTTTTTTTTACCGCATAGTCCCTCGTGTTTATCGATGATGCCACTGAAAACCGTTTGCTTGCGATCATTGCGATTAGTGATGTCGGCGTCAGCGTCTCAACGAAAAACTCTGAGCATTTCTGAACAGTTGGAGCTCATCGACGATGTCAAAGTGAAGAAACTCAAACTGGCCGCTGCAGCCAAAAAGTACAGAATCGGTTATTCAACAGCAACGAAAATTCTCAAGAAAGAAGACGATCTCAGATCTTGCATGCAAATGAACGGAAACACTAATCGCAAACGAAAGCGCCAATCCGTGCACAAGGACGTTAACGAAGCGCTTACACAATGGTTTATGCTCATGGAGATACCATCACCGATCACGTCATCAGACAGAAAGCATCACAACTGGCCGTAAATCTTGAAGTTGATTTTGAACCGAGCAATGGCTGGCTCATGCGCTGGAAGCAGGCCAATAACGTTTCCTTCATAAAATTTCACGGCGAATCAACGTCGGCAGATCACGGTTCTGCCAACGAATGGGTGACAAACGTTTTGCCGCAACTTTTTCGTGGATATGATCCAAAAGATGTTTGGAACTGTGATGAAACGGGAATTTTCTACAAAGCCATGCCGTCTGGATCTTTGCGATTTGCCGGCGACGAACAGTCAAATGGGACAAAAGTTCCAAAAGACAGACGCACGAAGCTTCAGTTCACAAACATGGACGGCAGTGAAAAGCAAACTGTAGTTGTTGGTAAGTCGGCAAAACCACGCTGCTTTAAAAATGTCAAAACTCTGCCGTTTTCTTACTTCGCTAATCGTAAAGCCAGGATGACTAGCCAGCTTTTTACTGACGTTATGAAAACGCTTGATCGAAAAATGATTGCTCAAAATCGAAAGATTATTCTGTTTTTGGACAATGCAACTTGTCATAACTTACTGCCGGGCACAAATCTGTCAAACATCAAATTGTCGTTCATGCCACCAAACACCACCAGTCTCATTCAACCTTTGGACCAAGGCATCATTCGTTCATTCAAAGCGTATTATCGTCGGGAACTTGTTCGAATGCAAATCGCAGCGATCGATGCTACACCGCCAGTGCCGCTGTCCGAGGTGGCCAAGCAGATAACTGTTTTGAAGGCCATGCACATGATGAAGCGAGCACTTTTCATGGTCAAACCGTCAGCAATTCAAAATTGCTTTAAAAAAGCCGGCTTATTGAATCACAGGCTGAAGTGGAAGAAATACTCGACGAAAATGATCAAGTTTCTCCACCATCGGGCATGGAGCAAACAGATTTTGACGAATTTATCAGCTTCGACGACCGTACACAATGTTATGGAGAACTGACTGACACGGACATCACACGTGGTATAAAATCGGATGATCAATATTTTGACGAAGATGATGATGCTGAAAGCGTAAGTTCTGAAGTTTCTGAAAGTGACAAGCCAGTGCCAAATTCTCTGGCTGCATTGAATGCGCTTGGAACTCTGACAGCCTACTTTGAAGCAAAAAGCAGTAATCCTGATGGCACATTGAAAATGATTTACGGACTGTATGAAAGTGTTCATGATGTTAACAAAGAGATTTCTGTACAATCAAAAATGACTGACTTTTTTAAGAAAAAGTAATTTTTGATTGAATTATTTTGAAAACTGATTGAAAATGTATTTTTGTCTGTGTTTTTATGTCTATAACTGTTAAATAAACTAGTGTTCTGTACGTAAAAAGCGTTATATGAAGTGTTCCCATACTTACCTAAACAAAATAGACCAAACCCGGATATAAGAGAAACCCGGATATAAGAGACTTCTTCTCCGGTCCCGACAACTCTCTTATATCCGGGTTACACTATATATATATATAAATAATGTTAAAAATTACCCCATATATATATATATATATATATATATATATATATATATATATATATATATATATATATATGGGGTAATTTTTAACATCGTTAAAGTTTTAAACAATATTATTTTTACCTTACTCTAGTTAAATAGTGACGGAGAAATATTTCTATTTACCATTTAATTTTTGACCAGAGCGAAAAAGTTCCATCGCTGCTAATCAGAAATTTGAATTTAAAAATAAAAATTTATGTCTTTTTAAACTACGATATTCAACATTTTAAATACAACGTTAATCCCTATCTTATGCCATCTTTAACTGTATTTAAATATTTCTTACTTTAAAAGTTTATTTATCAATCACAGTTTAAGGGTTTGTTTCTTTAAGACAAGATTGCGAGTGAGTAAGCAAAACTAAAGGATAAGATAGAAAATTGTGAAGTGACATGTTTGGTTTCAAGAAGACACTTCAGACAATATAACAGTTTGATGAAATAAAAGTAATTTTACAACTGCATTGTACTGAGAAAATAAGACACAATTTTATGTTTCCCGGCATTTTCTTGTCTATGTTTAATATTTCCTGAATCTTAAACTAAAAGTAAAATTTTAAAAAGATAGCAATTGATACTTAAATATTTCTTACTTTAAGTGTTTATTTAACCAAAGAGCCAATCCCAATTTGAACGTTCCTTTAACACAATATACTTAGCAAATAAGACTGAAAACTGTTTTATAGCACGTTCAATTGAGGAACTTTTTCAGACAAAATAATGCTTTCATTAATAACAGTATATTTAAATTATTTAAAACAAGTAACCTAATTATAAAAAATAATGTCTCTCAACCCACCAACCTATTATATATGAATTTATTTGTCCAATCAGAGATTGCATCTCTGTAAATAATAAACAATATATGCTTTATATAGGTTACACAACTACCACTCTTTCACGTAGACTCACATACCATATGGAAGAACCCTTAACGGATAAAATAATGCTTTCATTGATAATGGTATATTTAAGTTATTTAAAACCAGTAATCTAATTATCAAAAATGATGTCTCTCAACCCACAAACTCTTACATATGAATTTATTTGTCCAATATGAGATAGCATCTCTGTAAATAATAAACAGGATATGCCTTATATAGGTTACACAACTACCACCTTTTCATACAGACTACATGCCATTTAGAAGAACTCTTTTCAGATAAAGTAATGATTTCATTGATAACAGTATAAGTAATTTTGAAATTGCATTTTACTTATGAAATACCAAAAATGTAATGTTGCTCTATTTTCTTGTCAATGTTTAATACTTCCTGAATTTTAAACTAAAAGTAAAATTAAAAAAAAATGATAGCAATTGGTATTTAAACATGTTTTTACTTTAAATGTCTATTTAACTAGAGAGACAATCACAATTTGAAAGTTCCTTTAATACAATATACCTAGTTAGCAAATTAGAAGGTTGTGTAGCGACATGTTTGGTTCCAAAAAGGCACTTCAGAGAAAATAATTTGATTGATGAAATTAAAGTATATATAAATAATTTTGCAACTGCATCGAGAAAATAGGAAAAAATTTTATTTTATTTTTATTTTCCTGTTTCTGTTCAATATTTCCTGAATCTTAAAGTAAAAGTAAAATTAATTAAAAATAAATGATGTATTTGCATTTTCCCCTTGTAAGAAATGGGTCTAGTCAGTGGATCTAATCAACATCTTTATCCACTGGCCCAAAGAGTTGTGAGTTCAATATCAGGCCACAGCAGTGGTAAACCAAAACCTGGAGAGTTGAGTTAAACGGAAATAACTAAGACATCCGGAAGAGGCGTGGCACGTGGAACTAGAACAATCTTCCCCGGTGGACGAAGTAAAGGGTTCGTTTCGAAATTCCAATCACTTAAAGAAGACCGTTGTGAATATGAAAAAGAAGATGAGGATGACAGTCCGAATAATGTAAACAATGCAAATAATCATAATACCTCGTCTCAGAGATATAGAGGCCGAAACGTTGTTAATATGGCAATGAAGATGAGGATAACAGTCCGAATAATGTAAATGATGCAAGTAGACATATATTACTAAAAGAGTTTTTTCTTTCTTGATTCTACACCCAATACAAGTCTTAGAGCCACTCAAGGTAGAGGGTTACTAAATGATGATATAGAATACGCGTAAGAGGATAAGTGCAGATGATGAGGATATTTAGGGAAGATAACGGTTAATCCTAGACTTGAAGAGGTTAAAATTGATCGAGGAATGATAGTCCTGGGCGTTTTTTCCACAAAGTAGCCGTTCTTGGAAAGAAGTCGTCTGAATGAAATTTACTTCTTTCAAATGGAATACAAATGGATCGGGAAGGATTCGTCCCATAATACGTAGCATGGTGGATCTTAGCTGTGAAGGTCTGAACTTGCTACGCTTCGTCTATGGGATAGGGCGGGAAATAATCCATCACCCACAAGGCCGCGTAAACGCTTATGCAGCTCGTGTGTATTAATGTCTTGCGAAGAATCATCTAGAATTCAAATTGGTTTGATAATGTATTTTTTAAATAACCGTTCAGCCAGGCAGTATCTTTGCCATTGCACTAATAGTAGTAGAGTTAAGGCATTTCCTGGTGTCTGTGGTGAATTAAAAGACAAGATCTGAGGAAACCAATATAAGCCCCAAGAGCCACACAAGGTATAAATATAGCGATATCAGTATCAGCTTATAGCGATCATCATCATCATACACATACATATAAACCTATACAAATTCAAATTTCAATAGCAATCATTCATTGGATATAAATCAACGCTACTGTCTTATGCGACAATTTTGAAATCGCTATATTTTCGTATAGTAGATTTTGTGCACTTTTGGGAGAATCGGCTCCCAGAAATCTCCCCAAAGCTCATTCACTGATTGGTCAGTGTCGACCAATCGAATTCTCTGCACGTGAAGAGTGATTCTTCCCGCGCAGCACTTCTGATCCAATGATCACCTATAAATAGCAAACACGAGTTTGCCTCTTTCTCTTTTTTCTCTCTTCTTGCTGCAAAATGTAGTCCCAGAAAATTATCGTCTCGACCTTGCGGTCAGACGTTAAATAATATTTCACGCATTCACGTACGTACGAACTCTTACGAACATTCACCAAAATACGAACGTTCACACACACACACAAATGTTCACACACAAACACAACGTTAACTATCTATGTGCTTTGTAATTGTTTTGTTTAATACATATATTTGTTTATATGCATATATATATATATATATATATATATATATATATATATATATATATATATATATATATATATATATCGGTCTTGTAGGTTTGTCTTCTTTATCTTCAGTTGGACTTAATGCAAGTCCGACATTTTCATGTTGCTGGACCTTCTTCTAGCTGGAAATATAAACGCATTTTTTTCTTTTCATTTTTTCCTCTTCACTCCCGCCGTTCCTCTACAAGCTGATATCTTGTTAAATGGAAAACATCTGACCTGTTACAAAGATATTTCTATCTTCCTTTCTTTCTTTCATTTTCTCACTGACACCTCGTACCAGTGTCTCTGATATGTCCGATCAAAATGGAATAGTCCTTTATTTATGAGGTATTGACAGGGTGTAAAGTATGTGCAAAATAAGAAACTAAAGCAGAGTTATAATAAAGTTTGTTCATATTAATCAACAGGCTGAATGAAATGTTATGGCCGGCTGTAGTTCGCTATTTTTTTTAATGTACTGAATCTACACTTTAAGAGTTTAGAAAATTGCCAAATATTTTCTGGTATCAAAATTTTGAGCTGTAAAGAGGTGTGCAAAGACGAAAATAAAAACCAAGATAGTCAAACACCAAATGACAAAAAAATGGTTTCTGAGTCGGAGTATATTTCCTTTGAAAATAAATGGTTAACATTTTTCAACAATAAAAAAATCATGCTTCATGATCCCTTTTAAAGGGTATTTAAGGTGAGACAGAAATGGCTTGCAGCTTAAAAGAAATTCCTTATTCATTCACCTGTCTTTCTCAAATTCTGGCACTTACATGTTCCTTCTAACTTTCTCCCTTGACTCTTCTTTCTCACACATACAAGCAAAGATATTTATTTTCCTGATGATTATCAGCTAAATGAAGTGATGCTATTATCCAGGGTCATGGTGGACCTGGAAACACCATCAATTAAAAGATGGTTCCACGCACCTGAAAACCTCCTGATCAGAGACCTTGCTGTTGGACGTAGCTTATCGTCTGACCCAGGAGGCAAATGTAGTGTATTGTCATAGCCAGGACGCGGAGGTGATGTATAGTCTTACCCAGGACGCGGATGTAGTGTATCGTCATACCCAGGACGCGGCTGTGGTGTATCGTCATACCCAGGACGCGGCTGTGGTGTATCGTCATACCCAGGACGCGGCTGTGGTGTATCGTCATACCCAGGACGCGGATGTGGTGTATCGTCAAACCCAGGACGCGGCTGTGGT